ATAATGATACACATAAATAGACGAATACTCGATGGACGTTTAAATCTGGCGGATGAAATATTCTAATAAAATGTTATAAAAAGAAGTCTAAAGTTCAGAAATATGTGAATTATCCTCAATTCTTATACAACGATATTTTTTAAATAATTAATCACAGAGCTTCATTAGAATTGCACAGCTTCATAAGACTTGACTTCTGAATAAAAATTTTTACAACAAAATATAATGACGTAAATTATTAATCATCCATGTTTTTTAGAAACTTATTATAGAATTACTATGGAACTTATTATGGAATAAACGGATGCAATTTTAAATACCTTCTTTCTGATTCAATACATTATTTGGATAACTATTGGATTCATCTGACGAGTCTGACGACACAGATTTACCGTCATCACTGAAAATGAAAACCAAATGACATAAACTCTCAATTTGAAGAGTCAAATAGTTATTGCAATCGAAGAGGAATAAACGTACCTCAAATGATCCTGAAACAAGTGATTCACTTGATTGAGGAAGGGCTGAATGTTCAGACTTCGCTCTAGCCTCTGAAGATGAAGTGGAACTGCCATTTCGCCCTCCAATCCCATATTTACAGAATCTTCGGTCATGACCGAAGGTCAACAGATTCTGCAATCTTAAAACATATACGAGATTTGTTTGTTTTCAATATCAATATAAAAGTTGCGGTATGTCAATGAAAGATGTAAGAGAAGTTGTCATCAATTGTTTTATCCTGCAACTGAACCTATTGAAAAAAACAATAAATAATCTACTATTTCCTGGGTATGAAGATGCAATTAATCCACTTCAATTAGTCCACCTAATTAATCCAGCAAAACATCGAATACAAATAAATGTTTACACAATGAAAAACTGATGAGGTAGTTTTCTAAACTAATCAACACAACACCAAATACATTGCACATTTTATATTCTCTTGAATGCAATTCAACGGAATAAGAATATTGTCATTACCCTCAGCATGGGACAAATAAAAATATTGTTTTGAATGGAAGGCATAATAAAATGTTTGGTTAGAACAAGAACTCACTTATTGAAGGGGAAATGTCGGTGTGACCGTGAAAACTCTATCAACGTGGCTTATGTCGAAATTCGATATGAAAGACGATGTTGAAAACATAATAAAAATGGATCGAGTGAATGCAGGCATTTGGCTTGATGTAAAACCGGGGCAAGGGTAGAGCATATTGTTGGTCACCATTTTTATTTTCCGTAGATGGCGCTGTAAAAGAGAAACCCGGCAAGAGAATGATGTCATAGCGCCATCATGTTGACATTTGAGATATTCACATCGTGAAATTATAACGAGACCTCCGCCCAAAGA